AAATAAATCAAAAACATATAAAGCTATGCAAAATACACGAATATAATTATCAATATATTGTTTAATAACATTAATTGATGCCTGCCTAGGTACATAAATACAAATCAATAACCACCAAGCGTTTATTATATGTAAATAGATATCTTGTGTTTAAAGAAATGGACGAATATCAAAGTCCTCATTTAATCCTCTAGGGGACAACGTATCTAGTGTATAAATCCAAAAGGCTTCGCGCTGTAAAAGCAATTTATTGATATCACCTCCGCGACGCGGACACTTCACTACTTCAATACCTATGTACTGAAGAGTGGAAACTGAGTGTCTTGAATCTGCAAAGTGCTGTGCTACCGGACTTTTTGGATCGCGATGTCTAATTGCACATCGATGTTCAGAGATGCGAGTTTTTAGAGGTCTGCTAGTCTTACCAATATAACATAAACCACAGGGGCAACGCAACAGGTAAATCTTTCTCTCTCACACACACACACACACATGATGCGCAGAACTCCGCATTTGAACAGTCAATAGCAAATACTTAAACTAATAACAAAACAGTAGCTGATTCAGAAGCGCCAGATTGTCATAGCAAAGTCAGAATTACCTCCTCTCCTAGGTTCACGAAACGGTCGTCCATAAAATGCATTGCTGTTTTGTTGTAAGTAATCTTAAAGATTCCTAAATGCATCTACTTTCGGAAGGCCAAATAAAGTGCTTTTGCTTTCGCCTAGAAACACACAGCGTCTCCCTGACATGGCTGCTTCAACACTAACTGCGGTTACTGAAACCATGCCTTCTTTCTTTGCGTGCACATTTGGGCCGCATTGTGCTAATATTTCCACATAGTGAGGTAGATATGTGGGGGCGTGTTAGAACAAGCCGTTTTAGGGGGCGTGGCAGAGTCTTAACTTTTATGAAGAATATCTCTTTGGTTTTGAGACTTTAGTCTTTGCAACTTCAGGGATCTTATCTATGCACAATCAGCTTGTAACACTCCAAAGAGAAAGGAAAACTTGAAAGCGTATCATATGACCCCTTTAAGGTCAGGAATCGGATACTTATTGTAAAATGTACATTTCGATTCCGATTGATTCCTGTGTGTGCATCTATTCTTTTTTCCATCTGTGAGGACACGACTCTGCGATCTGCCAGGACCTTCCTCGCTATTCTAAGCACTCCAGTGTTTGGCTACACTTGCGATTAGCAAGTAACAGCTAAGTGTAATATTTGTGATAAGCTAGGGTGACCATGCGTCCTTTTTTTCCGGACATGTCCTCTTTTTGGACCTAAAAAAAAATGCGCCTGGCTGGGATTTCTAAATCGCCCAAAATGTCCGGGATTCGGCTTTTGCTTTCTACAGTCGCCATTTATTGTATGTTTTTGTATTAGAGCCCTGCGAGGGACTGTTTTCTTAATCCGGCTCCCCCTGAATTTTGGACCATTATCGCCACCTCCCGTGATTTTTGTGTCCAGTGCTCCCGCAAACATTATAATATTGCATATAATTTTCGCGCATCAGGGAGCCACCATCAATATGCGGAGTATATAGGCCTAAATCTCTTTTGAATAAGCGCTCGCTGTTCACTTTCGATTTCGCGATCATGCGCACTCTGTGTAAAGGAAGATCAGATATTTGTCAATGAGCTCAGGATCTGTTGAGCAGCAAATCTTCCAGCATGGTCTGTCAGCCATCTCTCCTCTCATCCCGTGATCGGTCAAATCTAACTCCTGCAGCTCGTGTTGGACGTAGGGTTGTCAAGTCTGCATTTTTTTCCCCCATGGAATTGGGCTACTATTAAACTGTTGCCATGGAGTGATTTTCCCCCGTGGGTTAAATGTTTCAAATAAACTGTGCTAGATGTTAAGTTTTGTGAAGGAGGGCCACCGGTAGGAAGCTTTTTAGCTGTGTTTATAATCAATATGCTTAACAGTGACTGTAAAATATGTATTTTAGGTGTGGAAATGGCATATTTTGATTTTTGATATTTGGGATATGGTCATTGTACTACTTTGGGCACTACTTTAACCACCAACCACACCCCAGACCCCCGCCCTGCCGCACCCACCCACTGTCCTCTTTATGGAAACCTAAATTATGGTCACCCTAGATAAGCTAACATGTTGCAAGAGAGGTGTCACCACCAACATGACAAAGCACAATGATTAAACAGATCATTAAAGAACACGATTCAAACACCAATGTGATCTTATTTCTAAATTACAACGATTCAGCTGTTAAACCTTTAATGTGTGCGATCACAACAGTGTGACCATCACTCTCACTCAGCTGTCAGCTGTCATGTATATGTATGTACGGGGATAAAAGTTTATAGTTTGGATATAAACACTGATGTGTAAGGTAGCGATTAAAATAGAGAAAATCACCTTTTGAAAGTAATTTGATGTTTCAAATAAAGATTTATCGATTATGTTGTTACGCCAGTAGGTGGCGAAAAGGAGCTGTTAAAAATGTATTTGTCTTTGAATCATTCATTCAAGAGATTAATTTAAAAAAAATTATTCATCCAATAATGAAACAAGTAAATCTTAAATGAGTCATTGAATCATTCATTCATAAATTACATGTGATTTTTGTAAAAAAAATAAAAAAATAAAAAAATAAATCACATGTAATTTATGAATTTAAAAATAAAATCTCAATTTATCCAGAATTGTGCAGCTCTATTTTGCACATTTTGTTGCTCTATTTTGTTTTGCAAAAAGAGACACAGAATAAATATGTTTGATATCTAAATGTTTGAATAATTTTTTTAACCACATTGGAATCGAAACTGGGAATCGATAAGAATCGGAATCGATAAGCGGAATCGGAATTGATCAAATTCAAACGATACCCAACCCTAGTTTTGTCTGCTCTGCAATGCTATTTACCTCATCTCCGTCAAAGAGATTCTGCACAAAAAAAGCCCTGCCCTGCATGAACACGCACTGTAATGAAGCGTGTGGCTTTACCTGATGGATCTCATATCTATAAGATGGATTTCTGTCTCCGAGGTTACAAGCGAATGTTCCTTTTCTACGTGTTTCTCAAAAATGCACTTAACACTAACGTGCAAGTACGTTAAAGGGATCAGGTCTTAACAGGTCCATTTGGAAAAAGCACATTTATTATTTTAAATTAGCTGAGACTCGAGGCAACTAATAACGACCCCGACCCGTGTCCGAAGCGCTCATCGAAGTTTTGGACCCGAACCCGCTCGGGTCGGACCTTGAGTTTTCGGATCCAAGAGGACCCCTGAAGACCTCTACTTGTTTGTCCTCAATCTGGCAACCTGCATGAGCGTCGAGTCTGAGGAGGAGGGGGCGGGAGAAACAATATTTTGAATTTGGACTGACCCATTTCAACCGCTAGCTGTCAATATTACATGCTGCACCTTTAATGCTGGCCTCGGGCAGTCGGTTGAAATCGCCGGGTGTCCCCGCCCCCCACAGCCGTGGGCCCCTATAATCGTCACCACCTTTCTCCCCACTAGTGACGGCCCTGCTGCCAGTACATGATGTATGCAGTGATTAATTGTCATTTATTTGATTAAAGCCGTTATATGCATGTTTATGTGTGTGTTTAGGGTATGTATCGTCTTGACGGTGAAGGTTTCACCTCTGTACCACTGCTAATAAAGCACCTCATCAGCTCCCATCAAGCCGTCACAAAGAGGACAGACATTGTGCTGAAGAGACCCATCCTTAAGGTTTATCACTGATCCCAAATCAGTCTCACGGTTACTATATAGATCCTACTACTGAGGAGTGAAAGGCTGATATATATATTTATTGGCCAAGATTATTAATTGGAAAAAATTGTTTTGTTAATCTCCCTTGGGTCCAATGTTTATTATTATTATTATTTTACATTACAATGATATTTGTTTGTTTGTTTGTTTATAAGAATTCTTTACAGTCCACCTACAAGAAGTTCATAAATGAACTCCTTTTTGTTACAAAGGAAGCCTTTTTTCCACAATGAAGGGCTAAAGGACTATTATAGAACTTAGAAGATCATCTTTTAATATTTGTAATAGTTAAAAGTTCATATTTGTATTTCTGTTAAGGGAGTGCTCTCTGTATACATTGGGCATTGACTATTAATGCAATATCGGTCGAGTACTGTTGTGATTGTCTAGTCATTATTATGATGTACACTTGCAGAGATGCATTCATTTTTCGGGGTGTTTTTTTAGGACAAGTGGGTCTTGGAACATGATGATGTCATTCTTGGACAGAGCATTGGTCGGGTAAGCTGTCTATCCTTTGTGTTATATAAAAAGACTGATAAAGGGATGTCAGTAAAGATTAGTAATAACTCACCAGCTAAGCCAGTTATTTGTTCATAATGTTGCTCATTGTCAAGTCAAGTCAAGTCACCTTTATTTATATAGTGCTTTTAACAATACCAACTTTGGTGAGGTGTTCAGTGGGCGTCTGCGTTCAGACAATACGCCAGTCGCTGTGAAAGCCTGCAGAGAGAATCTACCTGCAGAACACAAGAACAAGTTCCTAATGGAGGCCAGGTTTGTATAGACACTTAATAACACACATATTCTACATATACTCTCACATAACACTCTCATTTAACTAAGCATCTCTCCATTTCTATGTCAGGATCCTAAAGCAGTATGACCATCCAAACATAGTGAAGCTAATCGGCGTCTGCACACAAAAACAGCCAATTTATATCATCATGGAGCTGGTGCAAGGTACATCTAAGCTTGAATTAAAAATCATTTAAACAAACTGTGCTCCAAAATAAAAGAAAAATCTGACATTTACTTCATTTCAAATCTGTATAACTGACTTTCTTCCATGAAACACAAAAGACGTTTAACAGTGTAGCAGTGTAAGTAGATCTTTATTTAAATTATGAAACTCCAAAAATGACCAAAAAGCACCATAAACCATATGATAGATTTGCTCGAAGAAGCCTATGTAGAAAATCATGAGGTGAAATAATGAATAAAATTATCATGATTATTGTTGTTGTTGTTATTATATTGTATTTAAATAATCATTTACCTAGAATTTTGTCACAAAGGAACTATTTAGTTATTTAATAAGTGTAATATTAAAATAATTATACATTATTAAAATGATGAAATAATAAAATGTTGATTTATTTATAATTAACTATGAAAAGTTAGCAAAGGGACTCCTTTTAGTAACAAAGGAAAATTATTTTATTTATTTAATTAGAAAAGTTTAATAAAGAACCCGATTTGTTTATTGTTATTATTGTTGTTATTATTAATTTAATTATGAAATTAATATTATTTTTTATTACTTAAATGTATTAAGTAACTTAGTGAATGATTCCTTAAAAATGTTCATGCTGCAAAAACAAGTGGCGTATTCTGCTGGCAGGAGGGGACTTTCTAACCTTTCTGCGCACAGAGGGCCACGACCTGAAGACCAAGATGTTGATCAAGATGGCAGAGAATGTGGCGTCTGGCATGGCGTACCTGGAAAGCAAGAAGTGCATTCATCGGTGAGAGGTTGACAATGAAATAAGGACAGAAAGACAACGAAATCTAGTGATATATGGCACAAGATCTTAGGATCAGTGCTGAGAAACTATAGTGGCTCCATAAAGCTCTAGCAGACCTCATAAAGAGCTCACAGCTGGGTTTTATTGAATCTAATAAGTAGACTCTAGGTATTTCCCTATTATGGTTAAGTCTCTTTACCAGCGGTTTGTGAGCAATGCCCGATGGGAAGATTTTGATAATGAGCTGAGAGGAAATGAAACCTCATTGCTCCATCTGATAGTGACTGTTTCCCTCATGCAGTGTCGAACGCTTCAGTGTCTCTAGAGAGGATTATAGAGCCAGTGCACCCTCTGTTTCTCACTCTGTCATTCCTATACTTTTTTTTTGCATTTATTTCAGAGCAGCCTACAATAAATCTCTCTAATTGTCCCTGTCTCTAGAGACCTGGCTGCGCGTAACTGTCTCGTAGGAGAGGAGAGCGTGGTGAAGATCAGTGATTTCGGTATGTCTCGTCAGGAGCAGGATGGGGTTTATTCTGCTACAGGAGGAATGAAGCAGATCCCAGTCAAATGGACGGCACCAGAGGCCCTCAATTATGGTAATACTCGACCAGGGATTCCTAAACATTTTTTTTTTTTGTCAGCTGAACCTGTTAGACCTAAAAAAATATTTGCTTGAAGTACCCTCAGTAGTACCTAAGTTAATATTTCAATCATTTACTGTCACATTCGCATGTTCATGGTTCTGGTTAGTGATCACATGACATGCTGCTGCAAGTAAATATAAAATACAGCATTTTTTTTTTTGTTAGTGTGAGTGTGTGTTTTTTTTTTTTATTCAGATTGTTCTTATTTTAAAATTATTTATATATAATAATAATAATTATTATTATTATTAAATTAAAATTAACATTTTAAATTATGAAAACAGCCATAATAATAATAATAATGAATATTATTATTGTTATTATAATAATTATTTCAAATATTGAAATATTATTGAATATTTGATTGCAAATAAAACATTTATTATTTTTGTTATTACATGAGTTAGATATTTTTATTATTATTAATGTTATAAAAATAGCATTATTAGTTTTAATAGTTGTAAATTGCAATTTTCCTTTAAAATAAAAAAAATCATATTTGATAATTATAGGCCTAATAATTTAAAGCAATAAGCCCCAAGAAGCCGTGGTTTACAGTGAATTTATAACAGCTAAGGGGCATTGTTAGGCATGACGCGAAGCAGAGTTAGCTTAACAACCCCCTTAGCTGTTATAAATTCACTGTAAACCACGGCTTCACGGGGCTTATTGCTTTTATAAAACGGTTAATCCATATACGTGGTAAGGTTTCACTAAATAAAGCACAGCAAATAAAGTGTAATGATATGAATAAAAACCGTATTCTTCCGCTAAACAATGTAGTTCCTCAGAAACGGTTGTGGTTCCAACAAAGTGGTTGCCGAGCAACACACAAATGTAAACAAAGGTGTATGTTTGTAGAGTAATTTACAACAGCTTCGAACTTGGCTCAACCAATCAGAATCAAGGACCGGAACTATCCGTTTTATAAATGTTATTTTACACTGAAAGTTACAGTCCTTATATTTATGTCTTAAATTCTTCAATTTCAAATGTTCACATTTTCAAGCTTTTATTTTGTCAGAATGCTGGTTAAATGCTGTAAACTTCAGCAGTGCAACAGACTATGTACTTATTTAATTTAATCGTAGCCTTTGATTTGATAGTCGCTCTAAGCTATATTTTGATTCGTCGTGCCTAACAACGCCCCTTAGCTGTTATAAATTCACTGTAAACCACGGCTTCTTGGGGCTTATTGCTTTATTTAATCATTAGCGTTTCATTAACTCACAAACCCCCTGCAATTCCCTCACAAACTCCCATTTGGGAAACCCTGTAGTAGACAATCCTGCCAATGGATCGATCCATTAATCAAGAACTAAATCAGATACGAGAGACTGTATATGTATCCTGAACTAGCCTGCATGGTTGCCTGGTCATGACTGAGAGTTTTGTCTCAATGCTGCCCTCTGCTGGTTCATCAGGGCGATACACCACAGAGAGTGATGTGTGGAGTTTCGGAGTGCTGTTGTGGGAGACGTTCTCTAGAGGAGTCACACCGTATACCTTACCGCATAACATGAGTAACCAACAGACCAGAGACGAGGTGGAGAGAGGTACTTCACATGCATAAAACAGGTTTATTGCCTCTTTGCCAAGCCAGTGTTGTTTATAAGTCTTGTTTTTGTTTGTAGGATATCGTATGCCGGCGCCAAATAACTGTCCGGATGAAATCTATGCCCTCATGTGTCAGTGCTGGCAGTATGATCCGAGAAATCGACCCTCGTTCCGCAAACTAAAGGCAGATCTGTGCGCTTTATGTTAGTAAAACATACACACATGCACACAGTGTCTTATGATGAGGCCAAAACAAAGATTTATTTTTTTAATTTGTGTGCCACAGTTGTTAAAAACAAATATGCATATACAGTAAAACACACCATCAGTGCCTTCTGACAGAATACTGTTAATAAGAGTACAATATAATTAAGAATATTTGATTTTCTATACATACTGTATTGAATACTGTGCAATGTGGTCTTCCAAATGGTTTTGTTTGTGACATCCTGATGTTTCAATAATGAATAAATTATTTTTTTGCAGATGACACATATGATCACATGAACATAAGCCTGTACATTTATTGTTTATAGTATGAAAATACTGTAAATAAATTAAAACTCATTATTAATAATAACGACGTTTATTTAGCAAGGACACATTTAAATTGATCAAAAGGCACCGCAAGGTCATTTATAATGTTACATTTCTGTTTAAAAAACATGCTGTTCTGTGCATGCTGTATAATAATAAGAAAGTTTCTTGGGCAGCAAATCAGCATTTTAGAATGATTTCTGAAGGATCATGTGACACTGAAGACTGGATGAATGATGCTGAAAATTCAGCTTTGAATCACAGGAATAAATTACATTTTAAAATACATTCAAATAGAAAACAGTTATTTAAAATTGTAATAATATTTCACAATATCACTGTTTTACTATATATTTTTAATGAAATAAATGCAGCCTTGGTGATCATAAGACATTAAAAACATACCATTTTAACCAAACATAAACTTTTGAACAGTAGTGTACAGTATGCTAACATCATCTTCTGAGAAGGAATTTAGCTTTTGTTTAAGCCAACATATATTCATTTGACTTTTGGGGTAAACAGGTCTTAAATCCATCATACATCGAAATGTATCACTGACAAGTAAGTGATCTTGCAGTGCTGCAGTTTTGTCATGAAACTTTGCATTTGCACTTAAGTTGGATTCCATAAATAATGTTTCTGATGCTTTGTGCACTGCAAAACTTTGAGGCATGCAGGTGTGAATAGGCGTGTCTTTCTGTTCATGTGTCTTATCATGCTCTGGGCATGAAGGAGACCAAGGAGAAAATATGACATATGACAGGTGACTCACAGACAAACCTGCACAAGGCTTTAACCCTTTGCATAACAGAAACTGTTAGCATGATATTTTTTGGGCTCTCTTATGACTCTTTTTCATTTTTGCTTATCCACGAACATTTTTGTTTATAAAAATGATAGTGAGTATTGGGACAAGTCACAGATAATCCAAGCTCAGCATAATAAATGTGGGTCCAGAACAGTGCTATAATCTTATGAAAACAGTAACCTTTCTGCGCACTCATAGTGCTAACTTAAACTCTATAAAAGCATTATTTGAGTGTTTTTTTTTTTTTTTACTCAATATGGGTTAATAGAGTGTGAGGTACGAAAAAAATGTATATGCAAGTTGCAAAATTAATATGCTATGTAAAATCATCGTTTTGAAACTTCGCCCTGCAGTCTGCACAAATGCAATATACTATAACATGCCTGAATATCATTGCATTAACAAAATATCAAACCATGCATTTATTTATGCATTTAGTAAAACATTTCCCAAAAAGAAGTTTGTTAGGTTTGCTGAACCTTATCACCTTAACACCATCCGGTTATATGTCATTGCAAAAATTGCTTAGAAAGTTCAAGTTAGATATTCTATCTGTGCAGTGAAGTTTATAAATTAAGTGTGGATTTGATGTCTAAATACTTTTAAGGAACCGTGTATTTTATGGACGTTAAATTCTAAAAATATATTTGCAAATATTTAAAGTGCAACCATGTGTGACATTTGTAGACAGTGCACATATTTGAAGAATAATGAGCCTGCATCTTGAATGAAACTAGTTCCACTCGCACGACAGTCAGAATGAATGCATTCTGATCCATATCAGGTCTTCATGACACAGAATAATCAATGCTTTTGTTACATGAGGAGATAAATGAAGATCGAGTACCATGATTATTAGTGGATAAATTTACCTTCCTATCCATCTTTAAAAAATTGATTTGCAATGTATTTGACACAGAAACCCCCAGTTTAATTGTTAGAGCATTAAAGGAGTCATCAGTGTTCTGAGAGCATGTCACTGATGCTCCTGATGTGTTAGAGAGCATGCCAGTGTGACATGTTGAGTGTCAGCTGAGACGTCTCGTGACACAGCCGCACATTGCAACACATACCATTTGAAAGGCCTGCAGGTATTCCCTCATGGAGCACCTGCTTCCTCACGAAACTCACTGTTAGAGTTCTTGATGTTTGCCATGTGGCTTAAGGTTTACATAACTTATTATTTGAAACATAAAATAACTCCAGTTATTTCGCTGAGAGTCCAAAAACTGCAAAATAAATAAAGAAGAAGAACAACAACAATCCAAAAATAACTGTGGTTTTGTTAAAGGAGTAGTTTATCCAAAAATCAAGTCAAGTCACCTTTATTTATATTGCGCTTTATACAATACAGGTTGTGTTAAAGCAGCTTTAGTGTAATAAGAATAAAACAGAATAATATTAGCGTAGATGCCATTCTTCTTATGATGTAACAAGTACATCGGGTGTTATGAGAAGTGTTCCCGGTTCCGGTTGACCTAATTAAATGCAGCCTAACAATCCTTTAACGGATTTGAATTGAACGGATATAGAAATGTGATAGTGTGTTATGCGTATGCCTGGTTAAAGAGATGGGTCTTTAATCTAGATTGTCTGCCTCCCGAACAATTCTAGGTAGATTGTTCCAGAGTTTGGGCGCTAAATAGGAAAAGGATCTGCCGCCCGCAGTTGATTTTGATATTCTAGGCATTATCAAATGGCCAGAGTTTTGAGATCGCAGTGGATGTGAAGGACTATAATGCGATAAGAGCTCGCTCAAGTACTGAGGAGCTACACCATTCAGGGCTTTATAAGTAATTAGCAAGATTTTAAAATGTATACGATGTTTAATAGAGAGCCAGTGCAGGTTGACAGAACTGAGCTGATATGGTCATACTTCCTAGTAAGAATATCTGCTGCATTTTGGACCAGCTGGAGTTTGTTTATTAAGCGCGCAGGACAACCACCCAATAAAGCATTACAATAATCTAACCTTGAGGTCATGAATGCATGAATTAACATTTGTTAACATTGACATTGAAAGCATAGGTCATAATTTAGATATATTTTTAAGATGGAAAAATGCGGTTTTACAAATGCTAGAAACGTGGCTTTCAAAGGAAAGGTTGCTATCAAATAGCACACCTAGGTTCCTAACTGATGACGAAGAAATGACAGCACAGCCATCAAGTCTTAGACAGTGTTCTAGATATGGTACTCCATACTGCACTTGTGATCGGTATGATACCTCGTCATTCACTGTTACAAATTGATGATGATCGATCAAATAAGTATGATTTGAACCATGCCAATGCAATTCCACTATTGCCAACATAATTTTCTACTCCATTCAAAAGAATGTTGTGGTCGATAGTGTCAAATGCAGCGCTAAGATCCAGTGGCACTAATAGAGAGATACAACCACGATCGGATGATATTTGTAACTTTGATGAGAGCGGTCTTTCATCAAAAATGAAAGTTTGCTGAGAAATTTAGCATTAAATCACTTGCTCACCAATGAATCCTCTGCAGTGAATGAATGAGAATGAGAGTCCAAACAGCTGATAAAAACATCACAATAATCCACGCCACTCTCAACAATCAAAGTCTTGTGAAGCGAAAAGCTGCAGGTTTGTAAGAAACAAATGAGTCCATGTTCCATAATAAGGCTTCCTCTATTGTCCTCTCACATCAAAATCCACCCACATATTTGTTTAGGACTGTTTTGGACAGTTTTTGCTTGTAAATGGTGCTTGATCGGTGCGTATTTCTCTCCTGATTCAGACGAGACAACTTTTTGACTGGAATAATTATGGATAGAGGACTCACATTTTAGCCAGAAGAAACAGTTTAAAGTTAAAAAACGTCTTGATGGATTTGTTCACTGCAAACATACAGCTTTATATTTAAGGCGTTAACCGATAAACTGGAGTGGTGTGGATTACTTGTGGATTATTGTGATGTTTTTATCAGCTGTTTGGACTCTCATTCTGACGGCACCCATTCACTGCAGAAGATCCATTAGTGAGGAAGTGATGCAGTGCTAAATTTCTCCAAATCTGATCCAATAAAGAAACAAACTCATCTACATCTTGAATGGCCTGAGGGTGAGTAAATCATCAGCAAATTTTCATTTTTTGGGGGTGAACTATTCCTTTAAGATATGGGTTTGAAGGGCACATTAGTAAAAGGTTCTCTGCTAAACACTTGACAGGATGATTAGCCTTACTGGAGGTTAAGACCTCGTCAGCCTGTCAGGCATGTAGCAGAGCACCTTTCTCTAAAGGGCGTTTCAAAGCGTTGGGTGGAAGTGCCTATAGCAAATTCTCTCTGTGTTTTTGACAGATACAGGTACATCTCAATAAATTAGAATGTCGTGGAAAAGTTCTCAAATTACACCTTTAATTGGCTGTTTTTGTTCACATGCATTTGAAAATAGTGCTCAATAAACTGGACATATTGTCTTGACAGTTCTGAATCCTATCACAGATCAGTTTGCTGTAGGATACATTTTGTATGCCACACGCACTGTAAATAAATAAATAAAATAAAAATTAATGGCTGTAAATAAACACTGTTGGAGTATTTTTTTTTTTACAAGAGAATACTATTTTAGAAAATTTGTGAAATGTATTAGCAATTTCGGAGTGAAAGCTTTCTACACCTATTTATTTATTTTTATTTTCTTATTATAATTTTTTTTCCCAGTCCATGATGTGTTAAGCTGGTTCCTTTTTGCTGTGTATCAAAGTTTGGATATTAGCGTCTGTGCACAATAGAGATTGATTCAGGAAAGGCCTGTAAATTCACAGTAGTAGGAACCGCAATACCACTTTCGTAATTCACAGTGCATGTATATAGGCCTAGTACTCACGCGTAATTGTCTTTACCTTAATTATGACATTTACATTCATAAATGCTCGGGCAGCAGTTGGGTGTTTTGAGCCATTGTCAGTCCGTATTTCCAACCCGATCTCATGAAAGTGCGTATAAATAGTATGCCAAATAAAAACGAAAACTCGTGGTATTGATACGCAAAAATGGACTTTGGCGTGTATATGTATCAATACCACGAGTTTTTGTTTTTATTTGGCGTACTATTTATATGCATTTTCATGAGCACGATGAGAAAAGGCTTGGGCTGCTCTGAAACAATCACAGGCCGTATGA